TATATATATATATATATATATATATATATATATATATATATATGTATGTATGTATGTATGTATAGTGAAATGCACCGATGAGAATATTTTGCGAAAGAAGCGTCTGATGTACTAAGACTTGATACCAAGTCGTGGTCTATATTTGATCTGGCACAAACTTGAAAAAACCAAAAAATAAAGATTTTACAGTAATCAATCAATATTTTGTTTGTCAAGGCTTTCTGTCGATGGCAATTTTGCAGTCAATCATTACTGTTCTACTTGATATATGTTAATTTCAATAAATGGAACATATGCCAGAAAATAGTTGCTCATATCCAACATTATATTATTGAGATTCTGTATGACCAACAGAGAAAGCATCACATAGAAGTCCTGGTATATGTCTAATTCTCCTGTGACTAGTCTAGATCTTATTCTTCCGAAGATACATGTTCAGATCAATTAAACTTCATTTTGGAAGTTATCAAAGAAATGTGTTTGTCATTGCAATCAGACCGTGAAGTGGAACCGGTTTGGCGGTTGTTTGCTTTCATTCTGATTGGGATTATATTTTCTTTTTCATCTAGAAACATGCTTGCTTTGAATAAACTGAATATATTTTTGTGGATCAAAACCTGACCCTTTGAAATTCATGTATTAGATTCTGATAAAGCCTCCCATAAAGGAGCCAACAGAACCAATCGAACTTATTCTTCACAGCGATGTACGTGCTGTAGAACGTTCTGAGTTTGATCTTCATGTAAGCTTTCTACAAGCTCATCATCTAAAGTTAACTAAATTTTACCTTTTACATCAAAACTTCAATGTAAGTATTTCATTGTTTTCTTGATAGTTCACAGTATACCATCTAATCGACGCTATCTGGGGAACTATTTTGTCAGGTTGCCGAGCGTATGAGCTTTGTTGAGCAAATAAAACTGGATAGAGAAAGGCAGCAAAAGGTACAAAACTGGATACATAAAGTACTTAATTTTTTCACCATCATTTGTTGCTACACACCTATTCCTTGTCACTGAAAAATAGCTTTCCTGTCTAATTAGCTGGAAGAAGAAGAGGAAATAAGAAGACTCCGAAAAGAGCTTGTGCCGAAAGCTCAGCCCATGCCTTACTTTGATCGTCCCTTCATCCCGAGAAAGTAAGTAGCTCACTCGTATTGTTTCATGGTATACAATAAGTTTTAAGACTCTAAACTAAATCCAGCTACCGATTCTTTTGCCGAACACTAAGCTTTTATTTGCATTTAATTGTGACATTCTGTTTCTAATCAACCATTGTTTGCATGACAAAGATCAGCAAAACCCCAGACAGTTCCAAAGGAGCCAAGGTTTCATATTCACCACCTGAAGGAACCATAAGCGTGTGCTGCTTATGTTCCTCTGAATGTGTAGCTTCATTACTTTGTTCTGGTTTTCTTGGACGATCAGTCGACATAGTTTGTCAGAAGATATACCAACAAATGCTCTCCACAGAATATGGAAAATCAAGGAGATGATATCCGATATTTAGAATGTGCAGACTACATGTGATGTGTGTTGGTGATTCATCTGTATAGGAGGCAACACTAAGGCTTGAATCTAAGAACAACAAATTGGTGTGGCTTTCCAGTTGCTGTTAGAAGATTAACAACTGATACTTGGTGTGGCCTTCCTTGAGGATTTATTTGTTTGATCTGTGCGATCTATAGAGGGCAACATCATCATTATGCCTGTATGCGGGTACCTTATGATGTATCAATTGTCCATATGAGACCTTTTCCCCTATTTAAGTTTTCTTGTGTTACACCAGGATTCCAACTCATGGAAACTGGGCAGATTGTTCCTTCTTAAGCATTATCCTTCATAATTATCCCCCAAATAAATTATGGTTGCATTGTTATCCATGCTTGACATTATAATTGATGAGATACTTCAGGAAGTATCATCTGCCCTCTTTGCTCACAGTGGTGTCCATGTTTTTGCTTATAATGATGACATGATAATGCTTAAGAAGCTTTTACAGATCTAACTCATACAAGGCTCGAGCAAAAGAAGTTGATCATGATCTTAATAAATATGAATTCATGAACATTGAAACTATGTCACTGAACCAGCAACATGATGTGATCACCAGTTCTGCTGTCATTCGCTGTAAGAATCATGCAAGTATCGCTGCAAGAGGTGGGTGGCTCGTGACACCTTGAGCACCAAATTATGCTCTATCACACTTGCATTTTGGGTCGGAGATTGCAGCTCTTAATGTTGAGTCGATCTGTTGGAGCCGAAACATCTGGCTGTAATGAAATCATTGCAAAAGGTAGTCACAATGTCCGTAATTTTGCACTTTGCCATCACAGCCGAGCGCAGTTATTGGGTGAAAGAATCAACAAAATGGTTCACACCAGCAAACGGATTGTAAGGAACATTCCACTGAAATAATATGTTCAAAGTAAACCCTACATTTATCTCAAGCAGAAAGATTGTCCAACAGACGAAATAAATCATGTCAAATGCCCAAACATGTCCAACTTTTGATTAAAACGAACTCCGCTACTAAAGCTCTGAGCAAAATCTTTCCGAATTGATGTCATGGAACTCAAAGATCGAGGTTGCACTTAGACACGTCCGGCAACTTGATCAAGATCTCGCTGCCCTTGAGAAGTAATCCTCCTTCCGCTGGAACATCAAAACGAAAAAGTTGAAAGAGCTTATGAGATTTCTCACATTTGTGGTGTTATATCTTGTCAACATTGTCTTACTTGAAATGCATAAACTTGAAACTACTAGTCTGATCCATTGTCATATATAAAAGTAGTATTGGACATAACACAAATGATACAATGATGGTGAGAAAAAAAGTTAATCGTGCTCTAATCCATCAAGTTTCTGATTTGTGGACTGTCATATCACATATGCACTGTCTACAGGTGCACTGAGATGTCTACAAATTTCCAGTTAGTAATCTGAATCAATCATCTCATATATCCTCATAAAAATTAATAGGAAATCTGAACCGTACAAAAAGATGATGTTAATGTTGCCAAGAGACACTACACTAGGTGTTGTGGTATAACGACTTGGATTACAAAATTGTCAAAACCAAAAACAAAACAATGTGAGCCTAATCACATAAAATGTGCATTTTTCATCATTCACTTGCCAGTTACTACTGTTCATAGGCCTTCGGTCAGCATAGCATAAAATATTGGACTAAAGAACATAAGACATGGGTGAACATACCGGAAGTGCTATTCACAAAGTGAGAACTGTAAGATGCATGAAATTCTTACCCTTTAGGTTCGATTTCAATGATATTCATCCTCTGCAACTGCTGCAAAATGTGGCGAGCAATGGCTCCGCTGCTCTTGCAGAAATGTGGTGGACGACTTCCATTCCTCTTGCGGCCTCCATAAATCTTTTGAAAGCCACCTACTCCAATACCCTGCCTTAAATATATCTTTCTTGCCATTGAAGCTGCAGTAGGACCAAGACAATATGAGAACTGCTGCAGTTAATAGTCATCCCAGCAAAAACAAAATCTAGAAATGTTACAAGTAATATTCTGTGTGATATTACCAGCTCTAATGTAGTACCAATCAGGATCATAAGGAGCAAGTTCCTTGAACCTTCCGGTCTTCACAATGTCTGTCCACTCAGGAAGTTCCATCTATTCATAAAATTAGTGCGACAAGTGGAATCAGAATAACATTATATCAAGATCATCCAAAGTGCAAAAAATAAATATCTGTGCTTCTTTCATGTGATATCAAAAACATGCCAGTGCGAATGACCAATCCATTTGGCTTTAAATTAGTGCCTACAAGACTGTTAATCCTAGAGTTTCTCAAATTCTCAATCCTACTAACCTAATAACCAATGCCAGGGAATTCACTTACAATAACAAATATGACAGCATCTGGCATTTGTGAATTTACCAGTTAACTTTACATCATTTTGTTATTATATAGTCAATGGCAGACTCCGTTGACTTCAGGTGGACCAAAATGCACCACCGGTAGCTAATGTGAATCTAAAGCATCTCTTACTCTAATACAAGAACTTATTTTAAACTGCAAAACACCAACATGAATCACATTTGAAAAATTATCATATAGAACATGAAAAAGTGGATATCGAGCTGAATTTTACTAATGGGAAAAGGTGGTCATAAAGGAAGTCCATAAGTGGATGAGGGCTCACACCACAGATGGGGAATTACACAACCAAGAGAGTTTACGCTCAACCAATCACGTAAGGCTAGCACAAGATGATTAATGACGAAGTCAAAAATTTCTCCACAACAATGAGTAATATACATACACGATAATACCTCTTGCATCTTTCTTGGAAGAAGGAACCTCTAGCGGGAAGTTGGATGATGCAACTTACACCACCAGTGAGAGATAACAGGTGGTTACTCTAGATGGCACTTGAGAAAACACTTCACACGCTATACAATGTATCATTCCTCTTTATTCAGCAACAAGAAACCAAGATAACAAACATATAAGAATCCACTATAAACAAAATCAGCCTATGAATCCCGAAACCTTGATTGCAATTAATATTGTCGGGTGAAGAATAACATTGTTCCGGTGAAAATTTTGACTAAGCTAGGAAAAAAGGCAGGTAACCAACTTGAGGCAATATATAAAGATACCATCAGGTTTCTCTACTTGAGAACATTCCTCGTGACGGTTAAAAAGTGACAACTTAGGAATATGATGAAAAGTGCCAATGCAACTCTTAACTGATTCAAATCTGAAGTGAAAAAAAAACGCATATATCTATAAGCCATTTAGGATCAATTGCCCGCACATAACTAAGAGATCCTCTACTATAAAATAGCATTGCTATCAAGCTCGTCCCAAGAAAGTCTGATGTCTAATTGAACTCGAGACTCCAAGAAACAATATCATCCCTCAGGCATCAAAGCCATACACTAAAGTCATTTCAGATCATCTGCATCCACTCAGATCACCTACCTTTGATGAAGTTCTTACATAATCAGCTAAAAAACAAACAGGTATTCAGCACATAAAAAGTAAAAAAGGTTTAATCAACATTCCCAATTAAAACAATTGTGGCTCGCATAACAAGGTGGGCCTTTAAAATCAAGAAGCCAGCACTCCGGAATCACGCTGCTCGATCACGAGAAAAAGCTACGCCATCATCTACCCTTTTGTCGAGGTCAAACTCAACAAATCATGCACCATCGTAGCAACAAATGACGACTTGTGGATGGAAGCCTCACGTAAGGTCCGCCGCATAGAAACCAAAACTAGATGGAGGGACAACAAAGCCTCAAATCTAAACACTAGTAACTTTCGGGAGAAAAGATTTCAGAAAAGGAAAAAAAACACGACTTTGCGGATGGATTCAGAAAAAAAACACAAAAAGAGAAGAGGATTGATCGGACCTTGCCGGATCGCTTGAGGTGGGCGGAGTAGGCCTTGACGAACTCGTGGGGCGAGACGTCCTTAACGGTCTTGGCCACGTCGTTCTCCATGGTGCGCGGTTGCAGTCTCCTCTTCCGCTGCTTCGGGCCTCTTTGCGCTTGCGCTTGCGCGTGCGCGAGAGAGAGGGTCGGCGATCCAAGCAAACTAGGGTTAAGCACGGAGGATGATCCGCCCCTTTTATAGCAGGAAATGGTGTAGTATGTAATTACACAAAATGCCCCGAGTCCGGGCAGGGGCATAAAAGACTAACCACTTTGGCTATTAATTAGTTATTTTTAACATTTTGATTTTTATATTTTTAAAATTTATATTGAGATTTTTATGTTTACCAAAGTAAAACTTATTATTGAAAAGATAATTTTATAAAATTAAAAATTAAGAGAGAAATTTTATTAAAATAATATAATTAAATATTTTACTTTCGTAAATAAAAAAATTATAATATGATTTTTGAAAGTATAAAAATTGAGATCCTAAAAATAACTAATTAGAGGGATGGAATGATATATAATTAACTCAACCTCATGAGACCGGATAAAATATTATAAATTTATGATAAAAATAATATATATATTTTTTAGTATTTTCGATTATTCAATTATACGATGTTGAAACGTTCGTTATATCTCCAGCATATTAATTTTGGTATCGACAAATTTTTTTTCTTGCTATCAATATTCTTTTAATACGATCATCATATATTATCATATATCATCCGATGCATGCTCAAATTCCTTTTTGCTTCTTGAAAATTGTGTTAATACATCAACCATGAATAGACCATAAGCTATGTGTTCTTCCATCGGTGTCAGGGATCTGCTTAGCAACATCGATATTCTAGAAATATGATGGCTGTTTACTTAATGTGGGAATGGCAGGTATATGCTTTCCATATCCTCCGATAATTAATTATTATGTTAATGGATGCTACCTGTTGTCGGTTGTATTAATGGAAAATTAATACAACCATCATATTATCTTATATAGACATCAATTAGCATAACAGGTAGCATCCATTAACATAATAATTAATTATCCGGAAGTGCACAACCACATTGAACAATTAACCGGAAGCAAGATTGTTTCCAGTCCAGAAAGCTGAGAGCCCAAGAAAAATGAAGAACAGGGCAGGTAAAGCAAATGTAATCTGGCAGACTATTAAATGCAATTGTGAAGATGTTTAAACTAAGCTTCGATGCATCAGCACAGCAAATTCCTCCTAGCTTATCCTCAAATTTGAACACAATGTCTTCAAACATATAAGGGTAAGTGAACAGTGATCAGTCATGACGAGACAGCATCAAAATATTTTAAGATGCCAGCCAAATCAACGATAGGCACGTGGTGCACCAGCAAAAGAGTAGCGCGAAGAAACAGGTGCATTTGACATAGCATGCCTGCTTGAGATTGGCCTCTGTGAGATACCAGAATAAGCCCGGTTTGGATCTTCGTATCCTCCTGGTACGTAGCTAGGTTGCGAGTTGTAGATCCCCTCCATCCTCTCAGCATGTGAAATAATTTCTCCCTCCCTCGCTGTTACAGTGTGGTAGTCCCTCGAGAGCAGTGGATCCCTCGGAATTATCTCAGGAACTAACCTATAAGTGAGACTGGAGACGGAAAAAAAAAAACTTTAATTGGGTCCCCATAACGAAAAGAATGTAAAGCAATTCCCAGTAACAACCAAGAAACAATATAAATATGAGAGAATAGCCATTTATAATATAGTCATTGGACTCTTGTGACAAAAGCCGAAGAAAAAGAAAGAGCTTGTGGTTGTGAAAAGAACAAGTTCGCAGCTCATAAATTTTGTAATACCAAAACAATTATGAAATTCAGTTGCACCAAATTGATTTTGAGAGCCAAAAGTTTTGGTGCTTCTGATGTACCATCCTCAACTGCAAACATCATATCTTCAGCCCCTACTTTGATTAACCATTCCATCAAATGCAAAAATATCCTCAAGTTCTACTCAAGAAATTCTAGTGTCATATCAAACTGTTAAAAATATGCTTATTTTAGCAACAGAACAGATTAGAAAGCAATTTATCAATATTACAATACCAAAATAATCAAGAATCACTATGGTTTAAATTGAAGAGGCTAAAGCACGCTAACTAGGAAAAGCATGTCTCCAATACGGGATATATCTACCAAGGACAAAAGCTTCCAAAGCACCTAACACACTTGGAAAAGAGGCATTTGAAGCACAAGGACAAAAGCTTCCGAAGCATCCACTTAGGACGAAAAGTGTCCAACACACTTTAACCAAGCGAAGCACAAGTGGTTAGAAGTGTCTAATTCACTTTAACCAGGCGAAGCATACATGATGTGTCCACTATGAGGACTAGCCGATGCACTTCAATGAGGTGAGCGCCTAAGCCTAGACGCCAGGTGCTTCAGGCGAGCGCCCGATTCATATAAGGCAACCAGGCGCCTAAGTGGTTCAGTTTAAGAGCAGTTAGTTGGTTCGATTGAACCAACTAACACAATTCCTTACCTCAAAAGCTACCCTTCACGCGCGACCCCAACTCCTTGAGCCAACCCTAGCGTGTGTTTTCTCCTGCTACCTCTGCCACTGATGCTTTCTCTCGTTGCCTCCGCCGCCGATGCTTTCTGCCGCGGACGTAGCGAACAGAGTCTTCCTCTATCGCCAACCGAGTCTTTCTCCTGCTGCTGCTGTCCGCTGCCGCTATCCGACTGTTGCCCGCTACTACTGCTGTTGTTCGCTGCTTTCGTCACTACTGCTGTTGTCGTTCGCAGTGTTGTCGCAACTGTCTTAAACTAATCATCCACTGCTACTGCTTCTCACCGTTGCTTCTCTTCCGACTTTTCACTGTTGATTTCACTCTGTGATATTTTTTATCCCTTTTATTTAAATAATTATATTTATTAATTATATTATATATTTTAATATTTTAAAACGCCTAGCGCCTTGGGCATTTTGGGACCTTGGCGCCTAGCGATTTTTAAATCACTGGTCCACTACGATTGAGGCATTTAAGGCATTCAAACATGTCTTAACCAAGCAAAACATCTTTGGCATATGATGCATCCACCCAAGATAGAAGCATCCATTTAAGGCATCCAAACATGCCTTAACCAAGCAAAGCATCTTTGGCATATGATAAAACCATCCAAATCCCCAAACATGCCTTAAAAAGGTGAATCATCTCTTGTACGTAGTGCGTCAACATACCGTAACTAAGTTATGCATTTCTTGCACGTGATGCATCCACCATGAACAAAAGCATAGAAAAGTCTATCACACTATGCCCTAACCAAGAAAAACATCCATCCATGCCTAATGTTCTATCCAGGACAAAAGTATCCAAGGCACCCCTTAATCGTCTTTTTGCACAAAAGAACTATTGAAATCCCAACATCTTAGTTGAGACACCGAAATTGGTCGGTGTATTGTTGCACAAGTGATAGGCCTCAAGTTCAAGTCTGCATATGAAATTCATGCACATCATTTGATGTAATAATTTTAAAAAAAAATCTAATGCCAACATTGTGCTCTGGCATGAACAAGCCCTTACTCGAAAAGCATGGAGACCAAATGATATGTTAGTTATCCATGACATATCAAGACTCAACACGTGGAGCCCAAGCAACTAAGAAATAATGACATGTCAAATAGACATGTCACGTAAATATGACATCTTAAGAGAATTTTTCCTTGTTAGTGCATTTAATCTTTTGTAACCAACAATGATTTCATAACCAAGACTATAAACGAGGACCTCTCTAACTACATTCCATATCTCAAACTCTCAAACCTCATTCTAAACTCATAAACCCTCCACAAGCCTTTTTCACCACACAAACAAATGCTGACTTAAGCGACGGAGGGGACTTGCCATGCACGCAATGCAAATTTTGGACCCGTGATGACCGAACTCTTTTCGAACTTAGGACTCACCTCCAACCATCTCACCCAATAAGTGTCAGGTCGAGCTTCCTAGACAAACTGTCAGTCACACTCCATCCCGGAGTGGCCCTCTCTCAAGTCCAAATGCAAAAAAAAAAAAAAAAAACAAGCTAAATCGAATCAACTTTATCACCTCGGGTTTACTAAAATGTGCACTTCGGATACCAAAAAAAATTAGAATTATGAGATAATGCCCTTAAACTAAAGAATTCATATCTACAACCGTCAAGTTAATTTAATCAAATGTTACAATAACCTTACATAAAACACATTCTATAATAATATCTAATAAGTTACAATAATACCATAACAAAATACTTGATATAGAAGAATAAGATAGAAAATGATATGACTAACAACTCTAAAGCACATACTCAAAGCATGGTGCTAGAATTAATCACATACCGCTCAGTTCGAACAGGGTTTTCAGGATAGTAAGCTCGCATAGTCTCCGCTTGATATGGATCAACTACGGATGCCTGATAGTATGGAACACTAGCAGACACACCAGGTGGTGGAACCTTTCTAGGTTCTATTGCATAGGAATCACTTACATGGGCTTGACGAATATATCTCAACTCTAGAGGTGTCACATGTGACATATGATCCGACCTATATTGCTCCTCAGGAGGCAAATGAGGAGATGGGTGATATTGCTCCTCGACGTAAGTAACCGAAGGTGCCTGTTGAGGAGGTGCCTGTTGAGGCATCTGACCTGCCGGACGAAACAATGACAACAACTTGCGAACCTGCGCTTCATATCAAGTAGTAATAAAGTAAAACAAGACAAATAGAGAAACCTAACATTTGATCAAATTACAATGCACTATAGGTGAAACTCCTATATAAAAAGAGCCACGAATAAACAATCTTGAAATACCTGTTTTGAGTTAAGCTCTGGACTAAATTTGATCCTTGTGTAGTAATTTTCTTGAATAGCATGTCTAAAGGTAGTCTCCGGTAGTGGTAGGCAATCCATGAAAACCTTGAATTTCACCTATGCACAAGAAAATATATAAATGTGACATGTTCCTCGTTAAATACTAAACTTAAATCTTACTCAATGTGACACTAAACTATAGTAGGTAATATCTTGATCCCTAAAAACTAACCTATATTAGATAAAAAGTTAAGGTTAAGATGATATCCGTCTAAGTTCCTTGATGATGCATATTCAATATATATATACATATATATATATATATATACATAAACATGTACACACACACACACACACACACATATATATATATATATGATAATCTTGAACACATAAAACACTCATGAAAAGGAAAAAAGTAAAAGTAAATAACAATTAAATATTCAGCCAAACATAAATGGACATTTGTATTTAATCCAAAACTAGCAAATATCTTTAACAACTTAAGCAAGTTGCATCTATTCATACTATCTAGTGATGCATAAACAACTAAAAGTTTTGCCTTGCTTTTCAGTGTGTCAATGTTCTTCTCTAAAGTTCATTCTACAAACTAGATTCAAGTTACAATTGAAATATGGAAGTACTATAATTCCTCAAGTAGAACCACCAAACTACAGGATAATGTTGTCCATCTAAATGACTATGATGCAATTATGAAGGAAAAATAACAAGCAAAAAGCTAACTTCCAAAGTCATTCAACCGTCAATAATATGTATTTGGACAAATAATAATGTTTAATTGGCACCTAGGAACAAAAATAAAAGATAATCAACATACAATGCATGGCCTATAACACAAAAAATAAAAAATTCAAAGTTATAAAGACAATTACTGAACTTTTCTCTTTTTGATCCAAGTAAACAAGGGAGAACCTCTTTTATAATGCAATTAAACTTTGGTCACATGCTGGTGATAGTTAAGAACTTTATTCAACAAATGTCAAGTCATTATGAGCATAATTGTCAGCAAAATATCATTATAAAGAAACTATGCTTCCATGAGCTACCAAAATTGTTGATGCAAAAAATAAAAGCCAATATAGACGTTGGCATCACCAAAAATGTTAAGGGCACCAATCATCTTCGTGGTCAACCATAACAATAAATCCAACAACAAAGGTCAAAATGAGAAAGATCCTTGAGACAAAAAAAAAATGTTTTCAGTTCATTACTACTTTGTAGTCTTTTGGGTGGAACAAAGGCTAATAGTACGAATCTAAGATGCAAATATTCCATTATTCATACATATGCATTGCATATCAAGAGTGGATCACAGAGCACAATCACAAGACTGTCATACCTCGCTCAATAAAATTAGTACAATGAATTGCTTTTCTAAAATACATTATAAATTAGCCGCTATTACTGTGTTCTCTATAACCACTACCACGAATGCAAAATGGCCTAGGTGGTCAACATTTAGCTTGATCATGGTTTATAATAGGTTAGAACAAGGAATGTCATTTTGGATACTGGACTGGTGCATACCAATCAACACCGGGGTCCTGACACACGGTACATTAGTAAGTGGAGTTCAAAGAGGAAGAAACGATGGAGAAAGAGGAGGAAGAAAAAGGAAAAAAAGGAAGCGATGGAAGAAGAGAAGGAAGAGTACTCACGATTGGCTGCATGCAGTGGGCGGTGGGGAGGTAGGCACTGCCGAAAGGCAATGACAGGGAGGTACGTGGCATCGGACAACAGTGGCAATTCTGTGCTTGCACATCAGGGGCCAGCACGAATTGAGGGAAAACTTAAAAGTTTTTTCCACTTTTTTAATGGTTTAAACCAGACTGCCAACACAGGTATGTCCCATCTGATTCATACCGGTCCGAGCAAAACATCATTCCATGGGTTAGAATTATTCAGCGATTAGTTTGGATCATGGTGCACATTAGGTCACCGACTCATATTGCTTACACGTAAGAAAGATTGATCTATCATATTACACATCTATCATATTAAAACAATGGTAAGAGTTAAAAGCTATAAACTTGTTGATTTCTTTTCAACTATTTAGCTCTTTTGCTTGAGACTTAAAAGCTATAAACCAAGGTTTTAAATCTTGACCCAGTAACAACATTGATCCTTGGTTGAATGGGTATGGTACCTATACAATAATTCATCAACATTTGGCATGTGATGGCAATGACTGAATGTTCCAAACCCTTCCAAACACTCTTCGACCTATTATGTACCATATATCGAAGTAAAAAATTTCTATACATGTTTAAAAGAATGTACATGATACTCATATCTATACTAATCTGCATCAATCTAACCTAGATCTGCATGATAATAACCAAGAAATACATCAATTTTCATTAACATTATATGGATCTAAACTACATCTATGTAGTTCTAGGTTAGATTTGGTCGGATCTAACGTAAATCTATGCTATTCTACATGAATGTTGGCTGATCCGCATGGGTCTTTCAGATCTAGGTTGAATCAAATGATGTATAGCTGAAATCTAAGTAGCAGGGATTTGCACACACTAAGAAACATGAGTCGTTGACATACCAGCCAGCATACCACGGCTTCACATGCTCAACTAGGATTTCTTTATTGGGCCCTACTATTTTAGATAACATATGCCAAGGTAATCAAAAGACTAGCTTGTATGATATCATCATGTCATCAAAGACCTTCTGCTCTCCAACCTAATGTAGGTCTTCCAATTACAATAAGAAATAGCATATCTTTGCAAGCAATGAAAACCAATAATCATAATCTAAGATAGAGTAGAACCAAAAATGTTAATCATACTGTCTTCCAATATAAGCAGACATCAAGTTTGTTAAAACTGAGAAAAACAACAATATGAAGGCATATCTACGAGCAACATATCCCAGAACATCAATTACCTGAGCCGGGTAAGCTCCTCTGAAGGCACCTCGATCTAGGTCCATCCCACCCTGGCAGGTGGCCTTGTAGACACCATACAGAAGCTTCAGATCGTAATCGTACAAGAACAGTTTTGCGCCTAGTTTAATCTTCTCGACAGCCTCCTTCCTACCCTTGGGGAGCCCAAAGACGTGGTACCGGAAGCACTCGGGCTTCGTCTTGCTGCTGCACATGAAGATGAACCCCGAGCTCTTCTCCTGTACGGCAGGCTCCTTGTGCTTCCCGCCGTCCGCCTCCCTGCTGCTGTTGGCAGCAGAAGTCGCTGCTGCGTCCACCACCGCCGTGGTGGCGTCGCTCACCTTAGGCAGCTCCTCCTTCTTTATCTCTTTCTTCTTGATCTTCTTAAACGGGGTGAGGGAGGCAGCTCCCTTCTTCTTCGATTTGTTCGGCTTCGGCATCTCGTTGGGGATAAAGAAGGAACCAAGAGCTATGGGAAGAAGAGAAAAACCCGATCGAAGAATCGGCGTCTATCGAGTGGGGAATTGGCGACGGAATCGACGAGAAGAGACAAGCGACTGAAACCCTAATCGGACGGAAGAAGCGGACGCCTTTATCACCTGTGCGCAGGAGGGGATGAGAGGTTTACATAGCGGGGGGTGTGGAGGCAGGGGAACGGTTGGGATCTACGGAGAGGAGCGTACGGGCATCGGATGGATGACACGTGTATTATGATAGCCTAGCTGTCCCCCAAGCCATACGTGATCCAAACGTTTTAAAGGGACGATCGGGTGTTATTTATACTCACCGACACATCCACTGCGTCTTATTCTCTGCACCGAAGCGATCACCGGGCTCGTTTTATTGGTCACTGGGAAAGCAAAATTTTGGATTATTATCCTCTTTATAATTAATTATTTTTAACAGCCTGATTATTATATTTTTTAAAAAATTACATTAAAATATTTATATTTAACATCGTTATTTCAATAAAATTTGTCCGTCGGTCTTAATTTTTAATCTCTATATTTTACTTTCGTAAGTATAAAGATCATAATATAATTATTGAAAATATAGGAATCGAAATATTAAAAATAGTTAATTATAAAAAATAATTTATAATTAATCTTAAAATTTTCATATGATATGTTTATGTGTGTTTTTGAAATGTTTTACATTTTTAATGTTAATTGTTTCATATATATTATTTTTATATCTATATTAGGTTATACTCTTTTATTCTGAAATCCTTTGTTTATATTTACATTTTACTTGTATTATTACATTTACACTTTTATTTTTTACATTCTTGATTTTTTTATCTATATATTGTTATATATTATATTATATTATTAGATAACCTTTGATATTTAATTTCTTTTTATTAGTTTAAGCATATATTAGTATTCGAAAATGTTCCAACAAGTTCATTCTAGTTTAATCATACTTTAAAATTAGATAAAATTTATAATGGATATATAAGGAAGACAATGACATTTAACTCTTCATGTTTCTTAAAGTTTTTGGAAAGGAATTTTAGTGTCGATTTTAGTTATAATGTTGTTATACAAACTGTGAATAAATGAAGATAATAACATATCTAAAATTTTGCCTGCTCAAAATTAGGGTTTTATTTTGACACAAAATATATGGAGATTAACAATCGTACAATAATAATAATAACAATAACAACAACAAACAAATTTTAGTGTCGATTTTAGTCATAATGTTGTTATACAAACTGTAAATAAATAAAGATAATAACATATCTAAAATTTTGCCGGCTCAAAATTAGGGTTTTATTTTGGCACAAAATATATGAAGATTAATAATCGTACAACAATAATAATAATAATAACAATAATAATAATAACAATAACAACAACAATAACAATAACAATAACAAAAATAAATTTTAGTGTTGATTTTAGTCATAATATTGTTATACAGACTGTAAATAAATGAAGATAATAACATATCTAAAATTTTGCCTGCTCAAAATTAGGGTTTTATTTTGGCACAAAATATATGGAAATTAACAATCGTACAACAACATCAACAACAATCCATTACGTGCAAAGCATACCTCGTATGTCGCAGAGTTCGATATCCGGAGGCTAACAACAGTACCATACGATCACGTGAGACCCGAACGCGTAAATCTAACGCGTGACGGAAACAAAAAGCGACCCACGAGAAGCGCGAAGAGAGAGACGCACTAGCGAATTCGCATCGCTGCTTCGAAGAACGAACGGGAGTCAGGAGGATCGATCGATCGATCGATCGGCCAAGGGCAGATTGAGAGGGAACAAAGGAGTGGTGATTCGGAGGGGAGAGAGATGGTGGACGAGACGAGGAACCAGATGATGCAGAACCTCTTCGGCGATCAGTCGGAGGAGGAGGAGGAGGAAGAGGAGGAGGTCGACTCCGAGCACCACCACCACGCCGCCGCCGCCGCCAACCATTCTGATTACCAATCGGTATCACTCTATATCAATTAACCCCCCAAAAGAACAAGGAGCTGGATGTTTCTATTAAATTGGGTTATATTCTTCGACTCTTTTGCGTTGCCCTATTTGTTGTTGTTTCGGAGTTCATGCTGGCATAATTTTTTGTCAGAATTTAGAGTGTGAACCCGATGTATAATCGTCAAAGGTGTCTTCTTGATCTTCTTTGTCGTGGTAAAGGAATTACGGTTATTAATGCAAGGTGATGTTTCTGATATTTGTTTCTGACATGTTGGATTGTTGAAGAAATTTGTTTCTGACATATTGATAAAGTGATGGTTTCTATGGTCTTTATAAGATTGATATCTTCTATTTTATTCTGGATTCTTTTGGTTTTGAAAGAAGATATAAAGAACAATTGGGTGAATGTCTTTGTACGATGGAACTTTTCTTTATGATTAAACAGCGACTTGATATCAAGAATTAAAAATTGATAAAAAAAATGTATGGTCTTTGTAAGATTGATATCTTCTATTTTATTCTGGATTCTTTTGGTTTTGAAAGAAGATATAAAGAACAATTGGGTGAATGTCTTCGTACGGTGGAACTTTTCTTTATGATTAAACAGTCACTTGATATCAAGAATCAAAATTTGATAAAAAAAGAATGTCAGTGCTAGCTATTAATAATGACTACTTGCTCTTTTGTTTGCTCTACACATGGTGTATTGGATGCTTTCTCGAAATATCCATTTCTCTTTAATAACCAAGTATTTAATCATTCTCATAGATATTAAAATAGAGATGGATACTTTGAGATATCATCCAATATGTCATGTCCGGGAAGTATCCCATGTATACTCTGTCCATTATGGATGCCACAATTTGTTTAAATTATCCATGTTTCAGGTCTAAGTATGACTTGCACAAGTATGCATAAGAGTTTGTGTTTTTATGGTTAAACAAAATCAGCTGTCTATTTTATGTACCTATGCTTATCTGTGTCTGCATAAAAGAATTTATGCTAATGTGGTAGCATACATGACATTCATGGACAGTTACTTGCAAATTCTCTATTCATGGAAATAAATGTGGTAGCATACATGACATTCATGGACAGTTCATGACCCTCTGATATGTACCTCTTTGTGGAATAAATGGAAATATACACTCAGCTTTCTTTATGTAGCATACTAGCATGTCTTCTTTGTTGAACTATATATTAGTAAAAAGTGCACGGTAGCTTAAGATGATGACCATATAAAAATTAAGCAGTGGCCTCAGATGGTAATTATTCAAGGGTGTGTCCGGCAAACATCTTGTTGAGATAACCATAATGTAGTGTGCTGTATGCTCTGCAGACTTTACTAATCAACCATTGGACCTGGATTGAGTTTTAGGTATCATAATTGCAACCAAATTGAAGCTGTTATACAGTGATGTCATTTTATGACCTTTATTTTGTTTACCGTTATAGTTAATTTTTTTACTTAAGAATCTTGCTGGGTAAATCAAGAATTTTCTCATAAACTTCTTCTTTCTTCATTTTAGGATGAAGGGGAAGGTGAGGCTGAGGATGATGATGGTGAAGGTGAAGGTGAAGGTGAAATTGAGGGGCAAGAGGAGGTTGAAGTTGAAAGTGAAGCTGAAGCATATAATGTTGATCTTGAGCAGGGAGAGAGTGAGGGGGAAAGGGTTCAGAGTTCTCCAGAAAGAGAAGTCAGTGACCCGAAGATGGAAAGTGAACCAAAAGATGCTGAAAGTGAAGAGGAAGGCTATGGACAAAGGGTAGTGACTAGCAGGAGAAGAGAAGTGGTGGCCAGTGAGTCTGAAGGTGATCGTGAAGATGAAGAGATGGACTCTGATCAACACAGGCAACCCAGGTGAAATGTCAATGAGTCACATGTTTGTCCACTCAATTAGATGTTGTTATGGTTTTTCACTTCTATGACTATATCCAAGTTCTTAGTCAACAAATGACACGCTTGTTGAAGTAACTCCTATTTTTATAATTCTTTTTGAACAAAAATCTCCACCAGATTTCTGAAGTACATGTTTATTTCTAGTTTTTAACTTGATTTTGTTGAATGCATGACTTGGCAAATAAGATTTGATAACATCTCAAGGGTAACTATGACTTTTTTTAGTTCATTCTGAATGCTTTGTTGCTTGACATTTAAGGCAATCACTTGGTAGGTTTCTGAGCCAAGTATCTAAAGTGGATCCTATGTGCCTGATCTCACAGGAACTAGTGCTAACTGTTGCTCGGGGCCTCTGCTTCGAGGTGTTACAGTTGAATTACAAGGAAAGAGTCTCACGATTGTATTCAATTTTGCAGTAGAAGGGGAAATCATACTTGTTTATACATCATGTGCTCTATTCCACTTTACTTTTGTTCTTTAGTGTTGATTAGCTCGTTTACTATGCATCACCCTGTTTTCAACTTTTCTTTTGCTTGTGTTAATAATTTCTTGTGGACCTATGGCAGGTTAATGAGTGAGCAAAAGGACCATGAAGTTGTTCGTAATGTATTTGGGGATTCTGATGAGGATGAACCAGCTGAATATGGTGGTCAAGATGAAATTGAGCAAGAATTACATGTGTGACTGCTAAACTCATTGCTATTTGTTTTTTATTCTGAAAAAGAAAATGCTTTTTTTGATGTTGTCATATTTGATTGATTGAAATTGGTTTTCTAGAGTCCCCTAGTACATTGTTAGGATTTCTGTGTTTTAATGTAATTATATATGTAATTTTTATGTTCTTCATATTACATATCAAATATCCATGAATGATTGTACGTCTTTATGGAAGCCAATGCATGTACATTTTTCGTTTTTCTTTGTGCCAGAGATCTCCTATGGAGGAAGAAACAAACTATGAGAGAGAGATAAGACCAGAAGACGTAGTCCCTGATGATGATATGCAGTATGCTTCAGAGGATGATAATTTTGAAGAGAAACCTAAAGATAAACCAGTTGGCCCACCACTGGATTTGGAGTTTTCATCACAAGAACCACCAGGGCGACCTGATAAGGTGAGTTCCTTCTTCCCATTTTTTCAACTTTTGCTAAATGCCTCCTAAGATTGTACAGCATATTATATGCAATAGCTCTGGAATACAGGGGAAAAAAATACTGGTTAACTAAAATGATTATGATTGATCCTTCTGTACTTACTCAGACCTTTAGTCTCTTGTTCCTGTGTCCGTACTAGAGTTTGTGGTCAAAAAGCATCTCTGTAATTTACTCACTAGCTGTGTCATTTATGGAACTTTGCTTGTCTCATTGTCTATGTTAATTCGTGAGAACTATTTCACTTTATTCTTCGCAAAAATAACACTTGTTGATGTATTGTCTTCGCAGCCCTGCATTGTCAACTTATACACTTCTTAAGAAATTGACAGTTAAAGCCAGTAACTTATCTTACCTTATGGAGTTGTTGGCTAAACGGAAGTTACTAGTATGTCTTTCTTGAATAGAGCCACATGTATTTATCTAAATAAAAAATAATTTTGTTGTTATGCCAATTGTGCATGATCGGTTTGTGTACGCTTCTCTAGTTTTGTAAATCTTTTTGCATTAACCTCATGTCTTTTCTAAGGTAATACTTTTCTTTTCAGATGAACGCTATTAAAGTCTCTAACATCATGGGTATTGAACCAAAACCCTTTGATCCTAAGACATATGTAGAAGATGATGTTTATGTGACAGATGAATCTGGTGCAAAGAAGCGGATTCGCCTAGAGGACAATATTGTGCGCTGGAGAAGAGTCAAGAATCGTGATGGCACAGTCTCTGTAAGTAATGATTTTAGTCCTAATCCATAATATCAAATCTGGAAAACTCTTAATCATTGCCTTTTAACTTTTCAGTATGAAATTAACTGGGTATACTATAAGTAATGAATTTTGTATTGCAGTATGAAAGCAATGCACGGTTTGTGAGATGGAAAGATGGAAGCCTACAATTATTAATTGGGAATGAGGTTCTTGATATATCAGTGCATGATGCACATCAGGACCAGAGCCACCTATTTCTTAGGCATGGAAAGGTGCAGAATCTGCAGATAGTTGTTTGTATTAAGCTTTGCATTAAGATCTAAATACTGGTCCAATACTGGTTTTAGTGATTTGCTAGACCAGTTTAGGGTCATTTCATATGCACCTATGATTTAGGTTTATATTTTTTTCAATTCTTAACAACAAATCTTTAAGCTAGTTAAATCATATATGAGTAATGCAGGGAATTCTGCAATCTCAAGGGAGGCTTTTACAAAAGATGAAGTTTATGCCATCTTCATTATCTTCAAAGTCCCATCGTTTGTTGACTGCTCTTGTTGATTCACGTCATAAGAAGGTTTATAAGGTGAAGAACTGTATTACAGAGATCGATCCAGAGAAAGAAAAGGAACAAAAAGAACGGGTAAAGAACTCAGCATCCATATATTTTATTTGTTAATAAAATTAATCTTTTTTATACTTATATTGCTTTTAACTGATCCTGAGTAGATGAACTGAAGCCGTTACCTTCTAGTATCTAAAAGTACTCTTAGAATGACTTGATTAGTTACATTAATAACTAATGCACAATTTACAGCTGGATATATCTTATCTGCTTTTGCCCTCCTCCTAGACTTGTGATCCCATTATGATAAATAAAATAATTGCAGGTTGAAGGCCAAACTATTAGAGCCAATGAACTTCTTCACAGGAAAAGGGAAAAAGTGAACCGCAAGTATGCACAACCCGTCCATAGAGGGCGGCAGCAACTTTCTCCAGGGTTTTTGGAGGATGCACTTGATGAGGTCTGTGTTCCATTACAAAAATTATTTAGCTTACTTGGAAAGCCAATTTATATATGACAACACATCAACATTAACAACACTATTGGAAGTTATATTGAAGGTGCTTTTGCAAAAGTATTTCCAAATTAGGCGAGTTGGTTATTTTGTTTCATTTGCTTGATTATATTATTGATATACTATCTTGTTATAAGTTCTGATTCAATAATTAATTCCTTCTCAATTTTCAAACGCTCGAACCTCGAAAGGATTTGTACCTAGACACTGTTTCGTGAGGATTGTTGAATAAAATGCATTATCTCTTGATTGTTTAGTTGGTAAATGTGCTGTGTTATCTTTGATTTTTAAGCTGGTGTCTATTTATGTAAGCTTTTTGTCATGTTAGACATGGATCTACGATTCATCAGTAGTTGCTGCTTGTGTGCGCTTGTCTTTTGCTCTTGGAGCTTGTGTTGTGGCCTTTGCTGGCGTTGCTAGATAGATATTAGGTGGTTATGGATTTGTCATGGTTTTGCTCATTGGCTTTGGTAAATTATGAATCACTTGGGGTCAGTTTTTGGTGTTATTTGATATTTACTTCTTTTAATAGAAGTAAGAAAATGTTGAATTTGAGAACCATTGGAGAAATTGTTTACAAATATCTTCATTTCTATTTTTGTACTTTACAATTACTTATGTACTTTATAATTTCCAAAAGTAGCAACTCTTACCCATCTTTGGGAACAAGTCTGGCTCCTTTGGGCCTTTATGACTGACCAATGATCCTGACATGATGACTTTGATCTTTCAATCTTCTAGCTGGTGACATGCCACTAAATTTGTAAGTATGGGAAACTAAAATGAATTGGTTACAGCTTTTCTTCTCAATTTTGAAACATCAAAAGCGAAAGTGATAACAAATTGGTTCTTAGTTATGTTAGCAGTCATTTGTTTCATGGTTTATATACAATTTGGTTGGTTGAATCTTGATTACGTGTTGTCATTTACTGCAATAAACAGTAGTTTTATGCTTAACATTTCTTGACTGCAGGAAGATGAGGCAGATGACTATTACAGTTCTCATCGGACTTCGGCTCATAGTCATTTTGAGGAAGATTTGGAGGCAGAAGCAAGGGCTGAGAGACGCATAATCAACGCTAAGAAGGTTAGTCCAATCAAAGTTTCAAAATCTGGTTCAATACTAGTTTTGACAACATGTTGAACTTGTACCGCACAGAGATACCAAGTGGTATCCCAAGCTGTATCTCCCAATGTCTCTGAAATGAAGTTGATACCAGTTGGTGTCGTTGTTTGGTGGATTATTGGAACTGGGTCCAATTGGTTTCTTTAAACCATGAATCCAGTAATGATTTTATGGTTAAGTATATTTATCATTTTGTTTCTCTTTATCCCGATGTTTCCAACAAAATATATTGTTCATCAGTCAAATGTACATATGAATGCCCAACGAAAGCCATCAGTGTCTGCTGCTCGCCAATCAAGGCGCCCGCTTGATGAATATTCAGAGAGTGAAAGGGAGGAATCTGAATATGAAAGTGATGGTGCGGAGGTTGATCGGTCTCCACTGCATGCAAGAGATGAGCCAGACCACGAAGATGAATATGAAGAAGAGGCAGATGAAGAAGCTGCTGATGCAATCTCTCCATCGGAAGGAGATGAAGATGAGGTAAGATATATCTGAATAAATTATATAGCAATCTCTCAATCTCTCTGTCGGAAGAATATGAAGAAGCTTTCTGTTTTTATAACAATCAATACTCACAAAGGATGGACGTGGTTGCTTGTTAGCCGGTAACTCAATTCAATTGAAAATTTTTAATTGCTTGATCACACCATTAAATATATCAAATTTGCATGCTTATAGTCTTGTAATGATGATCGCTTCTAGAATATAAATAAGCTAATAAAAAACATGATATTTTCTCTGTGCAAAGTCATAATAAACTAAAAGTGATTGTTTAGAGATGATGACTCTTAGAACAAGATTGGTGTTGGATCGGGATCAGGTCAAATGTCATTATAATAGTTGATAACTGGAAAAGTCTTATCAGATGCGACAGCTAAGAAATTAAAGTTGTGTATGTATATCACATAAGTTTTCTTAAAAGATGTGGAGCTTACATTGGCAAGTCTGTTTGATGTTCTTTTTTAAATGCCACAAATTTCCTAGCAAAACAATGAGTTGTTGGCTTTTATTTATTTGTTAAGTTTATTCTATTAAAGAAGTGGTAGATCAGAAGGTGTCAGTTAGCTTAGCTGGTAAAGACCTTGGTAGTTTATTGCAAGATCCTGAGCTTGAATCCAGCCTTCACCATTTACCCTTTGCAAAAAGAAAAAAGGGGAAGTGGTAGATCAGGACAAGTAGATTAACTGAAAAAATTCTAGTTGTGAGGATGATATGGTTTTAACTATTATCTTGGGTGGATCTTTGAAGTTCAATTAAAAAAAATTGTGTTGACATTGATTTAGCTCTTAAAATTTGATAAAGAAAACAAATAAAGTTGGCTCAAGACACATGAGCTTCTTCCCAAGTTTGCAATATTGGTAGTTTTTAATGCATGCACCAAATCCCTATTGATATCAGCCAAGGCTAGATTGGTATATATCAGTCAGAATCAGCTCGAATAGATTGAATTCAATTGGAAGTGGTTGATTGTGGTCCATTCTGGCCAATTTGATAGCCTTGAAATAAGAAAAGGAAGAGGGGAAGAGGAGCAAGAGTATGGGAAGGAAAAGAGGGAAGATTACTGTTATCATGGTTCCATTGCCGGGAAGGACAGAGGGATAAGGAGAGGAAAAAAGTTACCTAGACCTGTGAAGGAAAAAGGGATGCCATCAAATAGAAGGGAGATGCCATGAAAATTTTTTATTGATCCAAAATTCATGGTCATTCTTGTAAATTTTTTTGTTTGCCTTTACATTATACATCATCCACATTTTAGTTCCAAGGGCACTGGGGTCACATTTAGGGCCATTACTATCCTAAAAGCTACATGTGGATAAGTTTTGCATCTCCTTAATGGCATATGTGCACAGTGTACTAGTTCTTTATTACATCTTTGTGTAATATATTTAAATAAATATTTTGTACTAAATATATCATAGTTATATTTTGATTAATTATTCTTTGCTATTTTTCATTGTAACTTATATATAATTTTATATATTTTATATTCTGTTTTCATTTTTTTTGAAAGTTAGATATCTTATTCAATATGAAGGTAAAAGAATTTTTGGTATATTTTTATTTTCCCAAATTATATATTGCATGACCTATGTTTGTTATTCCTGATTTTTATAACATTTGGTTCTCTAGATTATTATCTCAACAGATCATTATGGAACCCTTCCTACCAATTCTGAGCATATCACCCCTAGCCGATTGCAAACCAGATTTGTGAACTGTATTCTTAACAACTGCTGTTACTATTTGCACAAAATAATAGTTGGACTGATTTTTTCATGAGAACTGGTTTGATTTACATTCACAAAGTGCTTCGGTATTTTGACACCTTGTAGTTACAGGCACAAAACTTTGTCCAGGATTGAGTTTTCATTGTATGGTTTAGAAATATTTGTGCTGATTTAACTTTGTGATGCCATAACCTAGTTTAAGCTAACTTGAATTGAGATGTTGGACTGGTGCCTGAGATGACTATATGGCTAAGTGGCGCAGAGATGTACTTCCTCTGAACAAGTAAAACTGGACTATATCTAAGTTTGAATAAACTTAGATATTGTCCAGTTTTAGTTGACTGATACTATCTGCTGTTTCCTATATTCTGAAACTTATGCTGGTCTCTTTACCCGCTTTAGGAGCCAAGGGGCAAGACGAAGGAAACCGGAAGCAGCTCTCTGAAACGCAAGGAGATCGACTCTGACGAGGAATCTCCTCCCAGAAAGACAACAGTTCATCGGAGAAAGGCAGTTGTGTTTGATAGCGACGAAGACTAACTTTTCTGTGACTGGTGGTGCCTCTCCGATCTTTTTCCTAGGAAAAAGACATGCTAGCATAAGTGCACATTCATGCGACAAAGTTGCGCCAGGATGATTTTGGCTCAGAAGAGAGATTGCATGGAGGCAGCTTTACCACTTACAGTATCTACACTGACACACAAAAGAATCTTCACAAACTTGCATATTTTTCCAGTATATGATGCTTGTAAGACTTTTGAGTTCATTTCTGATACTACCTAATGCATTATTCTTGTCACGTTTCAATGGCAGGAATTCTTGGAGACAAATTGATGCAGGTTCTTTCTTTTCTTGTTGCAGTTAGAACATTCCCTCTTGTCAACATATACATCGTGTTCAAACTATCACAATTTCTTTTTCTTAGCTGAATTCTGCATGGTATTGATATTTATATGTGTATATAATGGAAGTGTCGGCCCATCGGTGTAGGGTACCGGTCGGCTTAACGCGCGAACCGGTCGGCAATTAACATGGGTGAGCGAACCGGCCTAAACCAATTGGTTAACGTGTCGTGCTTTTTCAGCACCTGCGTGATTTGCCCTGCCCGTGTACCTGCTTTGTCATTGGCAAGAATAGCAAATCTATGGGGTTTATGCGGGTCCCGCTTGTTTCACTCTTCATTTCACCAAGAAATAGTTATCTGGGTAGGTGGGACCGGCGTGACTTGGCCGTGTAAGAAGTTTCAGCTCTTCGTGATCGACCCTTCTGCGTTCATCGAGAGTGCATAAAGGTCATCGGTTGTCAGAGGAAAGCGGAATTAGGGTTTCGGGAATTCCCCCTTCGAGCTCCCAATTCTCCCGTTTCGTTGTGCTCCCATCTCGACTTGGATCGGGTTGGGTTCGAGGGTAGTCCTCGGCGCCGATGATCTCTGCCTCGGATCCGCTGAGATGAGACCGTTAGAGGACCTCCTCACCGCGGTCTCCCTTGCGGCCGCGCCGGCGGGGACGGAAGCGGAGACGGTTGTGCTTCCGGGACCCGCAGGCGGGAGCGCGTCGGTCTCCCCGTCGTGGCTCGTGGGTTGCCATGGGCTCCTGTACAATCTCGCATTGATCGTCCCCTCGGTGATCTTTGTCGCCTACCTCGCGTCTCTGGCACGGAAGAGCTTCGCCAAGCTCACGAATGGCTACTCTTATGTCATGATTGCCTATTACGCCCTCCTCTGGCTCATCAGCGTTCTCAATCTTCTATGGTGCCTTGTCCAGGTACGGCATTTTAGCTCTTCTTTAGTGCTCCGGATATTTGAAGTGCTAATTGAGTCGCCTTTGGTAAAAACTTGTTTCGATTGTTTATGAATATTGATGGTTCAGTAATTGCTCTTTGGGTCTCGCATGCACTCATAGAAGATTGGTTATTACAAGTTACCCTAGTGCATGCGTTCGATGTACTCAAACTTAGGTGGGTGTTGTCCTCAACATGTTTCAATATCAGGTAAAAAAATGCAGGAGACACCACTTTTATCCATTGATGACAACTCAACCTACAATCTGGAGAATATCATAGCTTAGTATCAACTATTGTTTGTTTCCTGGTACCCTTCTGCGTACGTTGATTCTTATGAAGTTTGTAATTAGTTTTTATTTGTATTGAATATTAGATAGATTACTATCTATTCCCTGATAAATAACTTGAATCATATCACTCACATGATTCTATAGTGTCATAGGTTCATCAAAGGCAGGGACTTCAGCGTTGGGCCTGTAAAAACTTCTTGCTTACTGCAATCTTGTTTTGCTTATTCACAATTTTGCATGCATAAGGAGTAAAATGGAGGATAGTTGCTGGTTTCTGGGTTTTGTCAAACATTGGCATGCAAGCAAACTTCTAATGGAAATTAATATCATAGATTACCAATTCTGATGACAGATAGATGCTGATCATGAACTATGACAATAGTCACTGCTGCATATGGACATTAGGAATCATTGTGGGACCACAAATGTCCCTATTATTTATTGGGAAACAAGTAAAACTAAAAGCAGAGTGTGAAACCATGTGCTGTAGAAATACATTAAATGTTTGGAACCATTATGTGTTTAGTATGTTTAAAGGGAAATTACTTGCAGGAAGCTGATTAATACAAGTGATTTATGATTTTTGAACCCTTACTCGTAGCAAGCCAATCAAGTAATGTGAGTCTATCTCAATGTTCTCTCACCTGTTTATTTGGATGCAGGCATGGCAATGTTCGCCTGAGAAAGAATTATCTTGGAATATGTTGTCATTGTTCACAGAATCTGGGATGTTATTTTTAGAAGTTAGCTTGTTGGCCTTTCTACTTCAAGGAAATCATGCAGGTGGATTGGACGTTTTAACACGTACATTTGTAATATCAGGAGTAATTGTTGCTGCTGATACATTATTGAAGGTAATTAATGATGTTAAACGTTTGTTAATGACCAATACTTTAGCAATTAATGTTTTGGACAGAGTTGCTTCTCCAGTTCCTTTATTCTGCTTCTGTTAATGGCCATCCTTGTTGGTATGTGATTGGTAAAAGTTACGTTGTCTTGTTTATGAGAATGTGAATTGAGAGGAATTTAAAGTCATGGTATGTGAATTGTGACAGTTTTAGTGAAGAGACCCATAATAGATAAAATAGCCATTACTGTGAGTAAATTGACATACAATATGTCAGAATTCAAGATCATCCCTAGTTGTATGATCGGAAGAGAGGTTTTTAATCTGATGACAATTAGGAAAGGAGCACCATTAACTGACTAACAATGGTATTTATGAGGATGCCGGGTGAATATGCCCAAGGGGAGGCTAGATCGTATCTGGACAGCAAAGGTCGCTGAGAGTGATTCACAACAGTAAAGAGAGAAAACACTATCTATTACTGCTAACAGTCTAGGGGTGTTTAAATTGAACAGGGAAATCGAACCAAAAACTGAAACCGAGCTAAACCTAACCGGTTCAAAATCAGTTCGATCAGAACCGGTTCACCAATGGTTCAGTTTTGAAGGCTATAAACAGTTCTGGTCTGAGGGTATCCTTTTTTGGCTCAATTAACCGGTGCGAGTAAAAGATTAATCCGGTTGAGTTCACTACCCTAAGCCCTTAACTGGTTCAAACTGATTAATCAAACTGGCCCAAATGCCCAATTTTACAAATAACGTGAGCTCAATTTTACAAATATTGTAATGTTGCCCAATTGGACTAAGATTCCGGTTTGGTTCAATTGAATCGAACTGGTTCATTTGAAAAAAAAATATATTTTTTAAATTACTTGAAATTATAAATTGATTAGCCGAACCGGATTAACCGGTTTTGAATCAGTTCGGTTAGGTAGATCCCGATCAATTCTGTTTCACACTATCTTACTTTAGCCAAACCGAATAAAAAAAATGGTTTGGTTCAGTTTGGCTCTTAATGATTCGGTTCGAACCAGTTTGAACACCCTAGGTAACACCATCAGAAATGCTAATTATTAGTTGTAGTTGTGAGAGAGATGGAAGAAGTATGAATGGTAGAAATAAGAAAAATTGAATGGAACGAGATACGGTTAAAAATAAATTACGAAGAACAGATACAGACATAAGACAATCAAAATGCACTATGGATATGCCAACGAGGGAAATCTTAAATAGTATAATATGACTCAGTAGGAAATAGCAATTGTCAAATGTGTTTTCAATATGTTGTTGTAGTCTGAAATGAAGATGCACTTTGTACAATTAGATATTCCATGCTCAACAGAACACATTACATTCACAAAGTTACTTCAAACTTGTACATAGAACATCAAGGAGATTCTTAATGATCATAACAAAGTTAATGTATTTAATATGTCTAGGAATATGTTGATGGTGATGGTATACTTCTCCCAGCTTCTCCCCCTTTCTCTATCTAGGTAGATCATTGTTATATCTAGGCAGATTATTGCACATGATACTTCTTTTCTATATTCCCAGCTTCACCACTTATTTGATTTTGTGTGCACAGCCTATATATGTACATATGTATGTAGTGTATTTTTTTGTCGATGTTTTTCTTGTATGTATGTAAAGCATATATGGTTCAGCACATGCATTTATGCTTCTATGATTGACTACTTTGCGTATGAATGTGTATTTCATATGTAACATTTATGTATGTTTATGTATGTTCTGCACTTGTGCTTATAAAAATATGTATTCCATGAGTACTTTATATATGCATGTGTTCTTGTGCATGCATCTTCGATAGGTATTTTGTTTTTTGTTGTGGATAGACTGTTATTGTGGTTCTAGCAATAAAATAGCTGACATGAAGTTTCATTTTCATTTTCAGGCAATCTATATATTTGGTTTCGGGGTTCCATTATTTGCAGACAACAATGAAACAGCACATCAAGCAAGATGGGGTTTGTGGATTGTCCACAAGTTGTTGCTTACTGCAGTCTATGGCTCCATTTTTTTCATGCACCACTCAAAGTGGAGAGAGAGATTGCCAGGTGATCCTCATTTTGGTACGGCTATTATGTTTAAACGTTGTGCTGTATGTTGTTCTCTTGGAATCTTTTAATTTTTGTCTTTCCTGTTAGCAGCAAGACCAGCATTCTACAATTATGTATGTGTTATGCTGTTATTAAATACAATGTCCCTGTTTGGTTGTCTGCTTGCGGGAAATGGAGCTGGATTCGGGATCTGGTATCAATTATAGTCTTTTCGATCGTACAGATGTTAGAGGTTTTGCTGCCAAAAGCTAATCCTGCTTCTTGTTACAGGTTGTCCAATCTTATAACCGTATGCTACCACTCTCTCTATCTTCCGCTTCTCTATGTGATCTTCCTGGCAGATTTTTTCCAGGTCTGCTTCCCTGTTCCCTTGCCAAAATTTCTGTGGTTTGGCTAGTGTATTTTTTAAGCTTGATATTCTACAACGACTTGCTGTATGAATTTGTGTACAGGAAGAAGATTTGCGCTTAGAGAACGTGTACTACTCCGAGATGAAAGATGCTGGTTTCTTCGATGACGATTGGGATTAGTATGTCAGTCGGATAGGTTATATCGTCATTCTGTCACCTTTGTAAATAAGTGCATCGCAATTGTGTTTAAAAATACAAATTCAGCAACTATATGAGTCTTATTACATATTTGATATTTCAGTACATGTCTTTGTTCTTTTGCTCCTTTTTGATCTTCTAGGACAAGTTGCAGCTTGGAATATAATATTATTTATGTGGTGATGACAGGTCTACTATTCTCTGTCACTTTGCTCGATGCATGTCGTTTTTTCTGTAACATGATATCAAAGAGGAACAGCTGGTGGCAAAATTAAGGTTAAAGAAGAAAAGTGAGTTGTATGAGCGGTATGTTTCGGTTTGACAAAGGATCGATATCAATGTATCTTGTATCAGTATAACTCGGTAGATATGTATTGTATTGATAATTGATCGTTATATCGGTATAATGTAAATCATGATTATTACTGCAAGAGGACATATCAAACAAGTCATATAATTAATTAATTATATGGTGGTATTTGTTGCAGGCCCCTCATTCTAGTTGCACTTGGTACCACTGTATGGAGCCAAGCTGGCCATCGATCTCTAGCTCGCATACAGACCTGACGAGGTGAGAAACAGCATCATCAACAGTGTTGAACTCTGCAAGATCCGGTGGCAATGCATTGGCAGGCCAGTTCTCCAGCCAACCCTTCAACCTCAGCCGGAGTTCTTCCTCTGTTACAAACTCTTCGCTTTTGCCTGGCTCCAAAAGGACGTAAGTGTCCGACTGTAGATATGCTCTTCTCCTTCTTACTGCAGAAACCTGATCACGATTTCCCAGTCGATTATACAAGCTTTGGATTTCCTAACATCGAAATCCATAGGAAAAGGAATGAAGAAAAATAATAGCATATGTAACGGTAGATCTCATATTTGATAAGGTTATTTAGTTTCATATTGGTTGAGGAGTATGAACTAAGAGTTCATAAATCCGTCGGGTCTCTTTTACGTTCAGAGATATTTTTTGAAATTCATATATTCCGAAAAGGATAATCATGCAGGTATGCTCATCGCTCAAAGAGGACAATTCCTCGCGAGCCTACGGATCACACCAATGATCGATCGACCAAATGATCCCTTATCAGATTGGCACTAGAAAGAGAGCCCGAGGCCTACACCTCGACCGAGCAAACTCGCTCCCAAGCTCCCCTTAGGAGGGGGAGAATACTGATAAGATCATTTAATCTCACATTGGTTGAAGAGTATGGTTTCGTTGAGGAGTATGGGAACCAAGGACTCATAAGTCCGTCGGATCTTCCTTATCCTCATAGGCTCCTTTTGAACTCACATGCTCTGAAAAAGATAAAATAGTACAGATACGTCCACGAGCCTACGGCTCACATCAATGATCTACCGATCAAATGATCCCTTATCAATATCCTCACTAAAGTTACGTGAGAGAGAGTTCTAAGTCTTAAAATTCATACTTCTGCTCACTTCTTTACAGCATATACACATCTACAAAGAGAGAGAGAGACAACGGGCAAAGTTTGTGTCGAAACTAACCTTCACGTGAAGCTTGTCATGCATCAGACTGTTTGGTGGTTCCGAATTAGGCAGAGAAAAAACATTGCCACCAATGATGACCGGCCGTTTCCTGCTGTTGTATGAAGATCGCCTGTGTAATCTTGAAAGATGATTATCTACAGAAAAGGCAACGCATGAGAATTCTCCCTTTCAATTAAAATAATCAGGTTCACAGTTTATAAGAGCTTCTCAGGTATAAAAAATTGGTTAAATTTCATAATTGCACCGTACAACATTGAGATTATTCACAACAATTATTTGTAAAACCAGAAATTAAATTTAGAACTATGTGGTGGAGGGCAAGTCATACATTTTGAGTAAATTTTCCATAGATGTTGCCCCTTTTCTAAGTTCTAATCATGACCATCATCAAGTAAAACTCTATGAGTCGAGTCTGTCTCCTCTGTTGAGACAGAGACATCCAACTTTGTTCGTGCTTGTGCACTTGTTGCACAAGTGATAGGTCTTAGGTTCGAATCCATATATATATATATATATATATATATATATATATATATATAT